GGGGGGCTGGGGAGTTCTGCACTGTCCAGGCATCCCTGTGCTGAGGCCATAGATAAGGACTCGCCCTCGCAGGCTTTTGCAGATTTGCCCCTCCGAAAAACCCTGTCCTGCCCATTGGTGCGGGGTGTGCAGCCAAGACGAGGCCCCTGCTCTCCGTTCACAGCTGCTGGACCAGAGCCCCTGCACCAGAGCTGCTCTTCAGAGCCAGCAGCTGGAGAGCAGCCACGCTAACTCAGCGAAGGACAGCCCTTCACTGCAATGCAGTCCTGTCCTGGAGAGACCTGTGCTGTTCGGCGGCACCGAGGACATGCTGGGGCTGACCCGGCTTCGGAGGGAGCCGCAGGGATGGAGCCGATCCCATCTCGCAGCTCCACGCGTGGGGATGCCACCGCATCGAGGCTGGACGTGCCGCAAAGCCGTGGGACAGCGCTGCCACCACCCGTGGCGTCGGTTGAGCCGTTGTGGCGCTGGCATGTGATGCTCGACCTGGGCTGGGTGGCGAGAGCCAGGGTTGGTGCTGGCACTGCGGGCAGGGCTGAGCACGCTGGCACGTGATGCTCGACCTGGGTCGGGTGGCGAGAGCCAGGGTTGGTGCCGGCGCTGTGGGCAGGGCTGAGCGCCAGGGCTGGGGAGGGGATGGTGGCGATGGAGCTCCCAGCTCTTCCAGTGCAGCCTTTCAGAACCTGAGGGTCTCCCGGTGCTGCCCGATGGCAGCCACAGCCTTGTCTGCATTGGCAGAGCTCTGGGACTCTTCAGTCCTGTTCTCCTCTTGCTCCTCTGGACACCTCCATCACCTGGGCTCATCCCCGGCTGCACTGCATCGGCACCATCCGGTGCAGAGGGTCAGAGCCTGACCTCCCGGCTGAGCCTGAACCTCCTCCCGAACCTCCTCCTCCTCCTCCCTGTGCCAGACCCTCAGTGCTCCCTTCCCTCCCCACGCACACAAGAGCACAACTCCCAGCTTCTCCCCAAATCCCCAGGTTTCAGGAGCAGACACAGGCTCCTTTCCCCGTCTTCTCACAGGAATTACCGTACAGATGCTGCAGAACCGTCCTGCTCCCCAGACCAGCTGCAGCCTCCACGCTGCCGGCCTCACCCTGCTCCCGGCAGCAGTCGTCTGTGTCTGAAAGGCCCTTTTCCACCCATGAATCACCCAGCGGGGCTGCCCCTCCCGAGCAAAGCCCTTGCTGCTGCTGCTGCTGCAGCGGGTTGACCTAAAATCATGGTCCCACTCCTCCTCCATACTGTGGTTTTTCTTGGAGGAGACATCAGTGCTTCTTGCAGCCAGCAAGGGCTGGATACGTCATGCGATGCGGGGAAATAGAGGGCAGGAGGACTGAAGAGTAGCGATAAGAAGGTAATTATTATCCCTTGAGCTAATTAGCTGTCCTCCAGCTATTTTGTTAGGTGGCGAGGAAAGCATGGGAGCAGGGGCTGCGGGGAAGCAGAGGCAGGACCTAAAGCAAACTGGCTGCAGCATGTTTTGCCTTCGCTTGTGTTTGTCTTCTCTGCGGGAAATGGGATGAAGTCGAGAGCGGGAGGGAGGGTTGCACGGAGCAGATGAAAGGGAGAGTGGAACGGGAGGGACCGGGGAAGATAAGCCCGATCCTCACCCCAGCGAAGGGCCGATGATAAAGGCCAGGAGCCCCAAGGCTGCGTACAGCCCTGCCCGCAGCAACGGTTCCTCCAGGTGGGCAGGAGCATCGCTCCCACGGCCAGCGGAAAGCCAGGGCTGTGTAACGCAATGTTGACGTTACGCACAGCAAAACCCAACAAGACGGAGGATAATAATTCTGTAAAAGGCAGAAAAAACTGGCAGAGCACTGGGAAATTTGGCAAGGGTAACATTTCTGTCGCAGGCCACAACAAAATCCTGCAAAGCCCAGAGCGTTCGATGAAGGAGAATAGTTCTGTTACGGGGCACGGTGAGAGCTGCCAAGATGCTGAGACCTGTGATGTGGCACAAAGCTCCGCTGCAGATCCCAGCGGTGGTCAGCAGAGGGTAACTGGAAAATCAGAGCAGCTTCGCTGCGTGCTGGAAAACTCAGGGGAGGCTGACGAAGGCTGAGCAGCTTATCGGAGAGAGCAGTGACTCGTGGTTCTGGAAGAGCGGGACCGAGCGACCTGCACCACTGCAGGGCAGGTGCCCCAAGCAGGTTTGGGGTTTTTTTTAGCACAGAGGGAACAGATAGTTTGATCCAGCTCCCCACCACTGACACCCATCTCACCATCCCCACCCATCTCTCAGCCACAGCAGAGCTTGGGAAAGGCAGGAGAGACTGAAACACAGGGAACACCTGCCTGGGAAGGACGGGAGGCGCAGGAGAGCCGCACAGGAGCATGCAGCGATGGAGCCGTCGCAGCCGGTATTTGTAAGCTAAATTTTGAGGAGCTCCCCCTTCCTTCAAATGGCACCCTCCGATGCAGAGGGGACACAGGAACTCTCCCACCACCGAAGGCAGCAGCTGCCTTCCATGAAGATGGCCAGAGACTGAAGTTCCACGTCTCTGGCCAGAAATCTGCCACTGGCACAAATACTGCTCTGGAACAGGCGCTTTCCCCACTAGTTTCTACTGCTTAATCCTTTGGCTCTTAGGAGGTCTCCAACCATTGCTGCCTCATCTTCCTCTTCAGCAGCAGGGAACAGTCTCAGAGGTACGAGCGACTGGTAGGGGCTGGGAGGACGCCAGCGCTGGCCAAAATGTAGCTGAAGGTTTTAGGACCATCCACGGAAGGGGGAAATGAGCGGCCAAATGCCACTGAAAGAAAAAAGGGGGCAAAGAGGGCATAAAGAAGTATTTTTTGCACCTCCATGGCTCATCGATACCACATGCTCACCCCTCCCTGACAGCAACCAGGACAGGGAATGACAGAGGAACCTTCCCCTCTGGGCAGGGGCACGGAAGCAGAGGCTGAGAGCAGGAAAGGCCGCAGGGTGGGAGGGGAAGGCGCTGCTCTGCGGAGCCGAGCTACAGGGAAGGGGAGAGGAGTCAGAGACCCCCATAGTCTCTCTCTGCACAAGGAGCACACGCTGTTCCTCCTCCCACCACTCCTCAGCATCGAGAGAGGGATGGCAGACCACAAAATGCTGGAATCGTACTCCCCCCACTGCCAAAAGGACACAAAACAGAAGCAAAAGGCACTTTCTCGGGGCCTTTGCTGGTGGCTTGGACCCAAAATACGTGGAGGGACAGCTGGGGGTTTTCCAGCATGGCACTACAGCTGAGTGTGTCCTACCACATCCTTTGCATCAAGACTGTTTTACTACGCACCACCCATCGCTTTTCACTGAAGTCAGAGCTCCGGAGCCTGGTAGCAGCTGGAGGCTGCGATGCAGAGACAGCCTCCCCCTCTGCTCACATCCTCTCTTTGGAGAACAGTAGGGAAGAAACTTATGTCCAGGGATCCTTCTCACGAAGACAATGGACACCTCTTTTTTTGCTAAGGATCACCGTCATCAACAACACAAACCAGAAGTCGTTCTTGAGGCTCTTCACCCTGAAATACTTCCTCCTTCGATGCCTTCTGATTCTTTAGCTGACCCCAACTACCCAGCCCATCTGATGGTCACCAGCCTGGCACGTCGCACTACGCTCTCACACAGCGTGAGCCTTCAGTCTAACCTCTGCCTGGCCAATCCACAACACTGGTCCAACGTGTCCCGACTGCGGCTCCTCAACTAGAACCCCTGCCACCAGCCCTGGGCACCACCCAACACAGAAGAGACGCCCCCTTCTTGAGCCATAACCTTTGCCTGTGGGATACACAGGGGTCTGCTGAGACAAGAGTCCACCTTTGCCCCTACCTACCACAAACCGGTAGCACTAACAAGTCCCAGGGAGGCCCAAGATGGGAAATCCAAAGGTGGCATCTATCTCCAGTAAAGATTGGATGGTGACTCCATTCTTGCTCTTGAAGTTATCAGGGAAGAGGCTCCATTTAAATGTCACCTAACCCTGGCAAAGATGGAAACAGTCACGATCGCATTTGCTACGCTCCAGCACCCACTTCAGCACAGTATTAATGACTACCCAGTGAAGTAGGACAACATCCCTTTTCAGAAACAAAAATTAAACTCCCAACATGGATACTCTCCAACAGCCTAAGTGCCCTCATTTGCATTATGAATGCTAGTTAAATACATACACAGTCTTCTCCTGTGGTACAACCTTCCTAAATGAATTCCAGTGATAGGAAAAACAGACCAAAAGGACCACCCTCCAATCCACCCAGAGGAGCTGCATCCAGACCGTGAGCCAACGAAATGGCGGCTGTGGGGACAGAGAATTTCGTTCTCCACTGGAGGTAATACAAGCCTTCTAGTATCTGGATGGGCTGATGCTTGGTCCTCAATGAATTGATGACTTGTAGGTCTTCTCTGCATAAGAAAGCAAACACCTCTACAAATGCAGGTGCCGCAAAGCATCCATTTTCTAGCAGCTGGGTGATTACCACAGTGAAGGAGCAATACGGGAGCAGCCTTGGCGCAGGCAGTGCAGAAGGAGAGGGGAAGCGTGGAGGTGGACTGCAGGAAAAGGGCTTGACACACGCGGGCACAAGACAAACTTATCTGCTGCTTGCAGCAGGGAGATGAAGAAAGAACAAAGCTGTCCTGAGATAATGAGGCAAGATAAGGACAGTCAAAGTCAGAACAAGCCAAGGGTGTACTAAGTGAGAAGGGGCAGCAGGTCATGCCACAGAGGGGAAGAAAACAATGACAGCAGCAGCTCTCTCTTGTTCAGCCACATCAGAAGACACAGGGCTGGAGCAACCCACAAAATCATTTGTGCTACAGAAACTATTATTTATTTGACAGGTTTCAGCTGAGCTATTGTCCGAACTACATATCCGTGACACTTCTTGCTTTTCCAGGAATGAAGGAAGGGAGCTGGCTTCCCAGAAGGGCAGAGGAAGGAGAAGAAAAGAAAAGAAAAGAAAAGAAAAGAAAAGAAAAAAGACCAAGGCTTTATGAAAGAAAATTTATTGGTCAGACAGAATGACTTTGCCCCTTGCACTTCTTCTATCAGTCCATCACGAGGAAAAAAGCTAACTGTTAAAAACCAAACACATATGTGCAAGTTGGCCTAGGGGTCATGGAAAACCACCCCAAGACAATGAAGAGCTGTGAAATACGTCTGTCTCCAGGCAGGAGGAGGGTAGCACGAAGCTCTCCAGGGGCTGCCTCAGTGACTGGTTAAGGGTTGAGGTGACAGTCCAGCCAGCCCCTCTCCTGCAGGTTCCGGCACATTTCCTGCACCCCTCCCCAGCACTGTACTTTTAAATTGATTCCATTAAGCCAGCAAAAAGGTGTTAAGTTAAAACTTAACCTCAATTTAAACTTAATTTACATGGCTTTGGCTTGCACCAGTAAGTTTACAAGGGCAAGTCACAACCATAAAACAGTTTTAAAACAGTAAAACATACCCATGCAGGACTCTTGTTCACCAAACTGGTTCTACCTATGTCAGTGCAACTTGGGTTTAAGATAAAGCCTTACGCCTCATTTTCACCTGAGGTACCACACCTTACCCTTCAGCCCGGATGCTTCTCCACAGCGTTAGCGCTAATTACCCATGCAGAGGGACTGCGGCCAGTTCACCCCTTCTGTTTCATTACACCAACATGATCAATTCCCAGCTCGGAAGCGAGGACAGTGTCGGAAACCCAAGTCCCAGCCACCTCGGGGAAAACCTGCAGGTGCTGTGGAAGGGCAGGATCCAGCAAAGAACACACCTGACAACTAACCTGAGACATGACAGCCTTTTGTTCCGGTGCATAGGGGTTAGTTCACCCTAAAAGACTTATGAACACAAAACCCACAAACACATGTACATATACAATTAGAAAACATTTAATCCAGAATTTTAGAGACTTAAAAAAATAATTTATTTTAAAATAATTTTGATGCGTGTGGCCTGCTGAGTTTCCAAGCATCCAGCCTGGCCAAGGCCAACCTTCCCCTCCCTCTCTCCATCATACTCCCCTCTCCCAACCACCGTAACCTTTTGTGCATGGTCCTGTTCCTAGACACATTCCGATGCACTCCAAAGAAAAGAAGAATGAGCAGCTCATTACAAGGAAAGACATTTCAAACATGTGGCTCAGCAAGATGCTTTTTCCAAGTCCCTGGTGGTTTTTTTCCCCTCTCAGGATAAGCATAAACTCCTCAACGTGCTCCCAGCCTCCCACCACTTCAGCAGTTTGCCGCTCGGGGCTCTCGCTTCCTGACCATGTCCTCTGCCAAGATGGGATCAGCGGCGTTCTTCCCACAAGCAGCAGGAAGGAACATTTTTGTTTACACTGAAGTGTACTGCTCCCCTTCACTCTTCGGTCTCTCCGTTCCACCACAGTGGACCTTTGAACATTTGCGCAGCAACATATTTTAGTGATACACTCGAGGGCAGCCATACACTCTGTTCCGGTTCATATCCCCAGGTTTTCGGCAAATGCTCAGCCCATTTGATGCGCCTGCAGCCAAGGCCGTCTTTTTGGCGCTTGTCCCATGTGGAGTTCCTTTTTGCCTTTGGCCATGTATTTGGCAGAGGGCAGGGCCACAGATGCCAAGTAAAGTGAGTTACCTAAATGTTATCGTAGGGAACTGCAAGGCCAATGTTGTAGTTGTAACCAGTCACTTCATCGTAGGAAGAGCGGCAAATAGGAAGGACGCTTTCTACAGCCAGCTGGTCCACTGAGAACTCGTAAGCATAAATGATTCCTCGATGCCTGTACAAAACATGACCAGGACACACCACTTTACCTTATTTATATATTTCAACAGGGGAAAACGAAGTTAGAGATTGCCATAAAGGATCAAAATTCGATGCTTCAGAAGCTGAATATAAAACCCCATCCCTTCTGCACTAAGGTTGTCTGTGCAGTTTTAACAGAGAAAACTCCCTCCTGCCTCCTTCCAGGGACCCCACCAAGCCCTGGAAATGAACGGTGAATCATTCACTTTAGCACTGCAGAGACATGACTGTCATCTGCTGAAACACTTCTAATCTGTTCAGGAAGGGGGAAGATAAGTACATTGTAGTTTGATAGTTCAATTAGTCATGCTAACAGCCATCTGAGATGCAAATACCAAAACCTGGAGTTTAAATACCAGTAGTTTTCCTTTAGGAGAAGATATCATTACTAATATTTAGAGCAAGGAAAGGGCTGCATTCCCTGTCCGGCTTCGGTGGCCTTTACATTCCCCTGCTGAAAAAGAAATGTGGGGTTTTTTTGTGCTCAGAAGTAAATAAAGAGCCAATTCTCGAGGGTTTTAAAAGCCTTATCTTTAAACTTTTTTAGTTTTATTTTTTAGATGCTATACCTTCTCTATTACTGCTCTAGATCATGACTCAGGTGCTTATTTTGCCTTTAAACTTTTTCAGTTTTATTTTTTAGATGCTATACCTTCTCTATTACTGCTCTAGATCATGACTCAGGTGCTTAGTGTGCCATTTTAGAATATATAATAAAGCAGATCTTCGCAGTGCCAAAAATCCTACCCTTCAGAGCTGGCTTACTCACTTGCGGTGCGCAGTAAGGTCATCGTCCGTGATGCTGGCGCCTCGGGGAGTTTTCTCATCAGGGATGTTTGCAGTGATGAGGCTATGAGAATTAAACCATACGTGGCGGACTGGATGCCTGAAAAATAACCCACAGCACTGGGTGAGATGCCACCTGCGTTAGACTCCTAAAATCCAAGTGCAGTAAAGAAATCGCTCTGGATTAAACAAGAATTCATTTACATCAGCGCCCTCTGAGCCCCAGAGGCTGGGAATCTGCACCTTTGGCTCTTCTCCTCCTGTCTGGAGCAGATAAACACAGCTTTTATCCCCATCTAGTGGGCTGTTACCAGAACACACGTGGAGGCCAGAAAATATTTTAGACACTTGGCAGCACACAGGCTGCAAGGGATCCGGGCTGCCTGCTTGCTTTGCTGCTTTAAGAACTGCAGCGGCACGCTCCTGGGAAGAGCAGGATGCTTCCCAAAATGAAGGATGGGGACACCCAGGACCCCAACACCCGCAAGCACTGAGCTATGGCTGATTTAGAAATGCACTATATGGCACAAGCTAAGAGGTCTGGTCTTCATTCCCTTTCATCTCACTGATGAATAAACTAACCCTGAACCATTGTAACAGCATTTACTGTTCAAGTAGGAGTAACTTATGTTCTCAGATTAAGATGGCTCATCGCCACGACCCTAATGTGTCTCCTGTCATCTCCCTTAGCTTCTGCCCTTGCTTTCCATTCATGACACCGGGCTGTAGGCATGGATAACACCACACACAACTTCTTATCTACGAAGGCCTTTTTGATTGAAGTGATCCCTTCTGATTCCTATATAGATTAAACAATATTTTAAATGTTTAATCTAATGGTTTCACTTTTAGTACACTCCCAAAGCTCAGATCTGCACTGCCTGCCCTCCTTGGCATGCTCATTAGTGCTGCTCCAGGAGACAATCAATGCAATATTGTCGTTAATGCATCAGCCACATCACAATGGGCTTTGTAATTCACAGGGTCAAAAGAGAAGGAGATACCTGCTATTAATCAATGACAACTCCAACTTGAACTTCTCTGACTGTAAATACCTCATCTAGCTCCTCTTTGGGGAAGATGCATTAAAAAAAAAAAAAAAAAAGAGAGATCAGGATTTATCTGTTCATTTTAATAAGGGTATCACTCAGACTTACAAGGGGCTAAATCCTTGAGGTCTTCATTCAGACAAAGCTAACTCCCTGGGAATTGTGCCTTGATCAGGAAATCATAATTTGGCTGCCGCAACTAACAGTCTTCTGTCAAGTCCAGGATATTGATCTCTGCTTGTGCTTTCAGTACTGTACTTCTTGTGCTTTCAGCACAAACTGGTATTTTAATATTTAAATGAGTTTAAATACCAGCCTGGCTTTGATCGTTACCGCTAAGGGAATGCATGAATGAGGTGAACAGAAACACAGGTATTGTGTAAGGATACAGCTGATAGAGACAGCCAGAACCAGTCACTCTGAAGACAACAGCTAGGAGTCCAGCATTTTAAATCCAAGGTTCAATAAAGTAAATACTGGTTGGGGATGGGGCAGGGAGAAGACTGGAGCACTGACTGAAGCACTCTTAACTAATGAGTAAAAAAAGCCTATGACTGCTGAAGGGCACACACAGAAACACGCACAAGACTCCAAGTGAGGAAGCAATCTGTTCCCGAATCACATGAAAACTAAACAGAACTCTCAGAAGCTTTAGACATGGGCATGTTATCATTTTGGTCCTGGATCATCCCATTTGCACATTCCTTCTGTCAGCCAGATCCGATGATCACCCTTGCAATAGGACCCCATGCAGACAAAATTACCTGGCATGCATTTCCCAGAGTTTGGTGCCCATCCGTTGGTCCCACACACAGACCAAGCCCTCTTCTCCTCCACTGACTATCTTCCAGTCATCCATCTGGACCGCAGACACCCCTAACTGGTGGGCATAGAGGGAGCACAAAGATTCGCTTTTGCGGAGATCGAATACCCTGACCCTAAACGAAAGCAAACAAAGAACAGAGATAAAAACAGCTGTGGATCTGCAGCCTGTGGGTTCTGACAGCACAAGTACTTTTGGGGTTATGAAAATATGTCCAGGACAGCCGTAGTCCCACGGCCACTACAGGGCCAGAAATCCAATACGGCTGACACTTTTCACCACTGAATTTTCACTCTGACTTCTATTATCAAAGATTTTTTGAGGCAGGTTTCTCCCACCATACAGGACCTCCCTGTCTCTTTACAAGTCCTAGGTGATATAAAATGTAAGTGAAATTTGGAGAAAGCTCCTCTATCTGTGCCTCCCAAAATGTCAGCAATGCCGTGAGGCATAAAGTACCGTGTTTTGGGCATACTGCTAACACATCCTACCCCTTGGTACCTAACCCACGTCCACTATGGCCGAGGGGTAATATTATTATGAGGATCAAGGAAAGGACTATTATTACAAAGATTTAGGAAGAGACTAAATGCGCGGCAATTCAAAAGACAAGTCAAGGTAATTATAGGTTTATACGCTTGAGTTAATCACCAATATTGAAACAAAGCTAGCCACAAGCACCCAGCAATCAGCAACTCTTCTGATTTCAAAAGCACAACTACTGACTGTGGGCAGCTTTTAGGTACATCTGCTTTTCAGAAATTATTGGTCACTCAGACAAGGCATTTTGAAGAGAAACGTATCAAAGAGTCAGCTAGAAGCAGAACTGTATAAAAAGACTTTAGGATTTCAACCACTGCAACAAGTCCACAAAACCAGTTAAAGGTAATGGTGTTAAGTTTTAAACCCAGCACATATCACAGATGAGTATGGTTTTTGATCCTTATATGTCAGATTAAGAGATAAAAAGTACATAAGCGAATAAAAAAAAAAAAAAACCCGCAGCGAGCGAGAACAGAAGTAGAGGGTAAATACTGATCTCAGATTTGAAAAGAAACCAGAGAAAGTTCTTCCCAGCTGATGGCCATCAAGAATGAAACCATCAGGTACACATTAATTCCAGAAAAGGCCAAAACACACTTGTTCCAACACATTAACCGTACTTTATTCCATACTCCTGCTAGGATCCTAATGGTGTTGCAAGTCTTTCCTTTTCCCTTCTCAAATGGGGACTGCATCATACGATTTTACAAATAACACATTTCAGCAACTGAAATAAAAGGCAAGAGAACAGTCCAAAACTCCAGCAGAGCAACATCCATCTGACATGCAGACAAACACGCTGGAACAGAGCGAGGAACACGCTTTGTGTGGCTCTGCAGGCACCCTTAGGAAAACCCCATCACAACAGCTGCTGATGGCGAAAAGGACTTCTTGCTTTCTCCAACTCCAGCAGAGAGAAGCTTTGGCTACATATTAGAGCTATGCTTTGCGTAAGGATGGGGTATTTTGAAAGTGTTCACACCCAGCGCTCTCCTTGTCTTACTGCATGTGTTCCGCATGGCAATCAAAGCTTCTTCTGTTTGGTAAGCACAGTTGGAAACGAAGATCTGATTGTGTCCTGGTTATTTCATTAGCAAGGGCCCAGGTTTCAGGCAGGTGTCCATTCTGGCACACCCTTGGAAGAATTAGAGGCACACTTGAGGTGTTTAGAGCTATGCTTTGCGTAAGGATGGGGTATTTTGAAAGTGTTCACACCCAGCGCTCTCCTTGTCTTACTGCATGTGTTCCGCATGGCAATCAAAGCTTCTTCTGTTTGGTAAGCACAGTTGGAAACGAAGATCTGATTGTGTCCTGGTTATTTCATTAGCAAGGGCCCAGGTTTCAGGCAGGTGTCCTTCTGGCACAACCCTTGGAAGAATTAGAGGCACACTTGAGGTGTTTAGATGTGCTTTAAAAAAAAAAAAAAAAAAAAGAAAAACCTTTTTTTTTTTTAGAGGGCCCATTGGGGGGTTTTAATTTTTTTTAAAAAAAAAAAAAAAAAAAGGAAAAGCATTTTGCAAATCCAATGTGATGCTCTAATGCAGAGCTGGCATGGCCCTCCACCTCCTGCCTCAACAGCTGGGCTCAGTGGGAGCACATCAGATTCATCCGAGTTCAACGGAGCTCTAAGGAAGGTGTTCCCGTGACAAGGCTTTGACTCTCCTGTTAGACTCTCTTAGAAGTAAGCTCACTTGCCTTTGGGAGAGCATGGAATGCATGCTTTGATCCACACTTTTCAGCAATGGTATACACTGGACTTGCCATGTATTTGCTTTCCCGATGCTATTCGCCATCTTAGGTTCCACCAAGAAAAAGGCTGCTGGTGTGCAGTGCATCAGCACACGCTCCCTGTTATCAGATCTCTTGCCAGTGTGAGGCGCAGCTAAGTAATCAAATACATCAGCAATGCTTCCGGAGTACTTCTTGATGGAACGAGATTTCATAGGCCCTACCAAAAACATTTCACTTCAACAGGGTGGTCTGTGTTGCTTTTCAAAATCATGGCTCTGAATACAAGCATAGCATATACTAGTAAAATTGTGAAAGTGCTGTATTTAATTCCAGCGATACATTTCCCCACTGGCCATCAGCAGTTTGAACTCACATGGCAAGGTCCCTATTTACTACACTTGTTCTGTAACGGGGCTATGGAGGTTCAAGCCACATCCCACCTGTGGATGCCCAGCACCTATTAATACCCTTCACGCAGCACCACATGAGGAACTGACCTCTGAGATACACACGGTCTCGTCTCCTGGATGCCAAACTTACTTGCTGAACTATTGATTCTTAACTTCCTGCTATTTTAGCGATGGCCAACCCCTGAACTCAGTCAGTGCTTGAGCTGAAAAACTGAAAAGCTTTCTGGAGGGGAAATGGCACAGACATTTATGCTAGTATAAAGGGAGTAAATTTCAAATCTCACTTAAGGGACATCAACTTTATCTACTCTCCCGTCATCACACAAGAGATCAAAATTGGAGGTAGTTTTACTGGGGTGCTTTGGAAAATCAATTATCTGCTTTTAGAGGAAAAAAACTCCCAAGGATTCAATTACACGTGTCAAACTTCAGATATTTCCTTTATCCTCTTTGCTGAGAAAGTGTGAGGTTTGCTTGCACTGCCTATTCACTGAGAAGGAAAAAAAAAAGCTGTTTGACAAAATAATCATTTTTGCAAGCTGCTACACTGGCGGGACAGAGGTCTGGGATTTGGCAACGGGAAGTATCCGCCTTACAATCTGATACCCACCACCACACCAGACCACCACCTGCAGCCTGATGCCCAGTGCAGAAAGGAGGAGGGAAGGAACAGGGAGCCATTAGAGACTGGCTCCTCGCCATCCCACATCTCCTTTGGTGCACTGGATCAGACCCCACAAATAACTAGCCAAAAAAAGAAAATCTAAAAATTGGACCCTTCTTTTTAAGCACTTTAATCCTTTCGCACTGACTGTTCCCAGCGCGTCCATTCCTGGCACCAGATATTGTGCTGGGAATATCCTACTCCCCAAGCCAAGGAGTTAAAGAGAAAGCTGCTAATCAGCTAAATAGAAGCTGGAATCTGTTCATATGAAAGTCTCTCTTTTTTTTGTCACCTGAGGGACATCACAGTGTTCCGAAATACACTCTTGACATCATTTGGCAGACGGACCCATGTCATCCTACATGATTCATCCCTTAGGTTATTTTTTTAATATCAGAAAGTGAGCTTTTAAATGCCAAACTAATTTTGCGGGTGGTGGTGGGGAAGTGGAAGATATTCCAAGTGGTCTCGCTGGGCTGTACACCAACTGCGTCCACCAAATGGCTTAAAAAGAAAGTCTTCCCATGGAGCTTTCCGAAACAAAGCAAACTGGCAGCCACATCCAACTATTACCTAATATTTTGTTCCTGAAGTTCATGCAGGCTGCATTTGAAGCATTAGAGGAGAAACAAATTCTAGCAGGTCCAGCTGTAGGACAGCAGGACAGGAAGTAAGCTAATTTGAGATGGGTTACAGCTCTCGGTAGTACCTACCTTCTGTCTTTATTGCCTGTAACAACCATGTTTGGAGGACTGCTCTGGAGGTTAACACATGTAAAGTCACCTGTCGAGTTGCCCATCTTCTTCAGACACTGACTTGTTTCCAGATTGTAAAGAAGAATCTGGCAGAAAGAGAACAAACACTGGCTAAACGTAGCATGAGCACAGCAACTACCTTTTGCTGCAGCGTAAAGCAGAGCAGAGTTATTGCCATCAGAGATGGTCTGCAGGACTCATTTCTCAATATGCTAATACATAACCAAGATACAGATCTATCCCTATTAAGAAGGGCAACAACACTCTCAGAAATAAGGAAATCAAGTTTCACAATGGAATGCATCAAGAAGCAGGGATGCAAGGCTCTTGCCAACCAGTATCAGACAGGTATAGCTCTCAGGCAGGCAAAGCAAGCCACAGATTTTCTCCAGGTCAAATTTTTAAGGCTTACATGGAAAAGCAAGTAGTTTCTTCATCAATTTTAATATTTGAAGTCAGAGTAGTAAAAGTAAACAGAATCAACATTTAGAAGGTTTAGACAGATGGACTGTGCAAGAAAGATTCAATCAAATACAGCAAAAATTGAAGAGCAGAACGGAACACTGACTCAGCGCTGACAGGCCCTGCCGATAGCTTTTGTACAGATCATGAGGCAGGAACGGATTAAGAGAAATATTACATCTGAAGTGGCAGTTCACATGGGAAAGGAATAAAAAACAACTCTGATTTTAAGCAACATCCAAGATGATTCGACCAGAGACTGGAAGAGAGGTACGAGCTGTTTCCCGTCTGTTCACCCTCCTCTCCTTTGCGCAGCAATCAGTTTAATCACGTTCACCGTCTTTCCTGTGGGGCCAGATGAGATTTATCTATTTGGGCCTTTCAATTTAGGAGAGCAAGTATTTTTAGAAACAGAAGAATGTACTGGTCAAAGCCCAGTGGAGCTCAGCACAGTACCTGGTCTTCCATAACTTCATAAACATTATTAAATTTCATGGTGATGCTCCTCTAATTTAAAAGAAGCCTATGACCGTGAAGAGTAACAGTAGTTAAAACATCAGAAAAAACTTACGGCTTCCATGGCAACATCAGCACGGCTATGTCAACGTCACATCAATATTCTTAACTTCTACTTTTCTGATTATATCCACATGCAGCTTAATAAATATTACACTATCTGTACATATTATTTCAACATTTGCCAGAACAGCGAGAGCGATGCTGCCTGGCCTTTTACTTCCTATCTGTGCAATTTTAGTAAGCATCTGAAAGGTCGAATTAAGAGAGCAGGAGGGGATCATTTGGTGATGGATGCCTCTAGGCAACAAAAGTGAAGCTTTAAAAATCTCCAGGGATACTGCAAAGAAAGGCAGAGAATTTGCAGGTTTCCTCCACCTACCATTTCTCCCAACTACAGAGCAGGCATAGTTTTATTCAGACATATTATCAGCTCCCCATTAGAATCAACACATTCATACCCAACTTCCTCAGTTGCTTATAATATTTATAATCTCCCAAGTAGCTCCCTTTCCCAGCCTTGTCTTTGTGAAGCTATCTGCCTCAAATCGCAGCCTTTAGCATGTAATTTTTCATCCTTAAGACCCAAAAAACCCAAGCTCTGTAAAGCAAGGAAGACTACCTTTGCAGGGAGACTTAGGACATAAAAGTCGCTAAAAAATGAATTTAAACTTCCATACCTCCAAAAAAGTTGCTACAAAATGCATGAAAATGTTAGCCTTCTAAGGTAAAGACCAATTTACAGCCTGTTCTCACTTGCAGCACAGCTTCCAACAGCTCACTAACCAAACCCAGAGATAATGGCATTCTGGCAAAGGTACTTTGCACAGTTTTCAGTGCAAAGGAAATTAATATCTGCGCCTGGCAACCAAATTTCTCCTTGGAAAGTTTTGAACAAAAGACAAAGTCAAACTGCTGAATTCAACTTATGAACAATAAACGATCGGGTCAACAGCAACGTATTCCAGCTCCCAGTTGAGCCTCTGAACCAGCCCTTCCCAGCTGTACGTTAAAACTCTGGAGAGGAGAGGGCCAAATGCTGCTTTCTCAAAAGTCCCCTGGGGCTAACACTTAAAGCGAACATCCATAAACTATTAATTTATCTCAATGACCATAGCTCCCATCTATCCTATAAACATATGATACATACTTGAAAATTCAGTTATGGCTATGAAAGACTATAATGAAAAATTGCTTCCACATAGCACTTAAAGATTCCCCTGTTTTACATTGGAGCAAATACTACATATTCTCCTACTTGCAGTCTAATTTTAGAGCTGTGGCAATCCTCATACGTAGGCAGCACCAGCCAAAAAATTATTTATTTCTCCTCACATAACTTGTAGACGGCCACCAATTTGAAGTGTAATACGGAATCTGTACAAAAATAAAGGTTCAGATCCACAAAACTGGAAGAAAAGCTTTTGCCTTATCATCTTCTCCTAGCCCCTCCAATTCCTTCTCTTCTCACATCAGTCTCAATTCTTTTAAAGATTGTTGGGTTGTTTGTTTTTTTTAAATTTTATAATGCACATGAGCATTTCTAGCCAATTAGCCCTATCACTGGAAGAAAGATTCTCTTTGTGATTTTCAGTATCCAGGTTTTACCTATCTTTAAATTCAACTTCTGTCTTGAGCAATTTCATGGTCTGCAAATGAAGTTCAAAACCTTATCCTGACAAACTGATAGGTAAAGAAACAAAAAGAACTCAGAATGCTTTTTTAAGTCTGAATAATAATTTCTTGAAGACAGGGGGTTTAAAAGCATACCGATGACAATTTTGAAGTTGCTAGAACACTTCTGATGAGCTCTCCTATAATATCCCAAGGCAACAAGGATTTTCTTTACAAAGGCCAAGGAGAAAGAATGAAAATACCTGGTCAATAGGGACTTGAAATAAGGGTCTGTATGTTAAAGGGCAGATAAAGCATAAGATCTTTAGGAGGTTTATAATCCTATAATGCACACTGCAAAGGGATTACCCTTTTAAAGATATTTATAATCCTATAATGGACACCCAAGACCAGTGACCTAATAGGTACCGAACTGAAGGTAAGTGAACCAAGAGCATTTGGGTGTGAAATGAAGTACCCTGGGATAACACACTAACGAGCATCCCTTCCCCGCAGTGGGACTTGGGGGACACAAGGGAGGAAAAGCATTAAATACCCTGTGCAGATGTATCAGGATCTAACGCACAAAATAAAAAGTGTTACCTATTAACATTGTTCAAATGAAAAAGTCTAAGTTATTGGATAAGAGCCAAGCAATCTCCCAGAATGCTTAATAATTCAAAAAGCCAGAAATAGCCAGAGTACCTTTACCATTATGTTTAGTTAAAGACCACAGAGATTAGAAAACACATTATCCATCTCAGAGGCGATTCTTTCCATGTTACAAGTCCCTTAACGACCTTTACCATCTCTCCCTCTCTCTCTCTCTCTTTTAATAAGGCTGAGCAAATGGGACTTCATTTTATCCGATTGCCACAGACTAGTGGTATTAATTATTCATGCTCATACTCTCTCTTTTGTTAAGGCAGTGCATTAGACTAATTTCCCTCTTTACTGTGTGAGTTGGGCAAGTCTCAACCTGTGGCCACTGTTCTCAGATAGATGCGCCGAGAAGCTGGCAAATTCATGAGACCAGGCAGAGGAAAAAAGGAAAAGTTACTGTACTTCACAAAACTGCAGAGCAGTGGGTACGGGGAACTCTCTTTAAATGCCGTCCAAGAACTCAAGAAAGAAGACTAAATTAATTCACAAAGAATCAAAGTCTCTGTAGCCAGAATAGCTAAGCTGTGAGCTTTGTTACATCTTGCAGCTAAGTGAGGTCAAGCGTGGTCGATGTACTCTGGTTGAGATACTTCCAAGAAAAACCAAGGAACTGAAGGAAATGCTGTTGATGGAACTCTTCCATGCATGTCCAATACCCCAGCAGGTGTTTTGGGATCCTGTGTTGTTGGAGATGTCTTTTTTGGATGGAACATTAAAACAACAAATCCCCAAGCACTTGTTATCAAAGAGCCTGTGGTACTTTCAACAAGAGCAGGGGTGTTCAACCCACTGTCCTGGCTGAAAGCCAGCAGACAACTGCTTTGTGAAATAGCTAGTTTCCCCTCTGCAATCGCATTTCTGCTTCTTGTCAAAAGTTACCACATCGCGCGGCCAGTAAAAACTGAGCTCTCAGAATTGGGCGAAGCACTCTGTACATACAGTATATTTAGTTCTTATTTAGATGAGGTATTGAACGGAGTATCATGAATATTAGCAAAAAGTATACTGTAAAACCACACTCAAAACCTACATCCTTTTCCTTACCGAATAACACACAGGATGCATTAAAGAACCACTTTCTCAGAAAGAACCGTCTAGGATAGAGGTTTCTAACTGTCATTTTAGAGACAGAGGATCAAAATAAAAACAACCGGAGTTGCTCAAAGAGGCAGAGGGACAAGCAGCAAGATTGAGAACAGAATTTGCATTTATTTTCAAATTATGTTTCTCCCCCTTTCCTTCTGCCCATCCCTCTGCCAACCGGAAAAAATGTTGCCTGAATACACACAAATATTGCCAACAAAAGAAAAGCTTGTGAAATTTCAAGTCCACCATGAATAAAAAGGGATCTGGGTTTTGCTCAGGTCAAACCCATACAATTCAAAGGGTATCTACAGAAGCGATAAGGCTATTTCATATGCATTTGCGGCAGAAGTCATCAAATTAAGTACAACATATGGTACACACTGCTGCAAGTTTGAATTTTATTTCTAAAGGGATGTGGAAAAAGAATATTTTCAAAGTTTACAAGCCTCAGGGGCACAGTTTCCCCGTGCAAATGTATTGAATTGCCTACTGTAAATATGGCACATAACACTGCAACAACAACAAAAAAATTTGACTATTAACAAATGCAAGGTCAGCATATTGATACTTGTACACAGAGATAAGTGTTCTGGCTCCATAAATTTAAAGATGAGCTAAGATTTAAAAGGAGCAGCTGAGGGAGATAGACAGACAATCAGAGAGAAAGAAAAAGAGTAAATCATACGCAAAACAGCCAGTAAAAAAAAAAATTTAAAAAGCAGTTAATATACATGAATAATGGATG